GTTCGATAACTTTTTGTTTTCCATTTTTTCCCCCATGGACTTCTAAGAGAGGAGTGGTTTTGAATAAGGGGTGATCTGAAATTTCCAGGAGACAATTAGGACTATATGGTGTATAAATGCAATGTACATATACATATGTATGCTTGGGTAAGAGAAGGTTGAAAGTGGCGGAGGGGGTGAGAAATGCTGTTGAAGACAGATGGGCCAGAAATGGAAAGAAATGCTTTTGAAGACAGATGGGCCAGGTAAAAGACAGCTGAAGATTAACTCACCATTATATCAACTTGTCTTCCACGGTTGTGAGATCAAATCATTTCATAATAAAATGATAGTCTGTATCTGTTATAGTGACCACCAGGAGGCGCTTTGATTGCTTATCATAAATTGAGATTATTGAAACTCAGCTGTATAATCTTCAGTGGGATGAGAGGAAGGCAGGATTTATTTTTTCTTAATTGTGCACTGAGTAAGTTTTTCTAATTTGGTGCATATGTCCATAGAAATATAATTAAATAACTATTATAATTTGCTTTGAAAAATGCTAATTGTCTATCTGTTCTTTCTGGCAGTGAGACAACGTAAAGCCAGCATTAAAACAAAAGTGACTGTTCAATACATAAAATCAAAGGACACGAAAGCAAAGAAACAGGCAGTAGCCAGACATAAAAAAGAAGAAATAGAAAAGTGGAAACACGATAGAAGACGACGAACTCCTGTGCAGGCTAGCAGTCAAGCAGATCTCCCTTATACTGGAAACTATAGTTTCATTTAGATGTTACTTTTAATAATGCAGGACTGGCCAATTTGATGTTCAAAATGCAGCATAAGGATGAAAAGAAAAGACACTTGTTTTTAAGACACAAATTAAGAAATTGTGTATTTTTGTGTTATTTTGGGGAACCAGTTTAAACAAATGCCTGGTATTCATTTACGGATGTGGTAAAATGCCCATACTTTTCCAAAGTCTGTTCTTTTCAATAAATGATTTTTTTTTAAAGAATCTGGTTTACCACATGTTATCTTGGAAAGAGAGAATGACTCTTCTGATGATATAGACATTTCTGTCATCATCTGGTCTTTTAAATTCCTCAGCTGATGGATAACATTAACCCTCATAATAGTTTTAACTCAATGTGCTGCTTAGTTTCCACAATAAAGATTTTGGCCAAGTAGTTGATGGTTCTAGTATAAGCATAAATGTAAGAATCTTTTTGTTATTGTGCTTCCAGGAAATACAGAAACAAGGGAGAATCAGTTTTTATTGATTTTAAATGCGTATGAGTTAGAGAACTGAAGCAATTGTTTTATCTGTTCAGTTGACAGAAACAAAGAAAGCTGTTCCACAAGCTCTTAAATGCACCCAGTTCTCAGTCTGAGTGGTGACTTTTAAAATTGCATCCTTGAAATCTGAAATTCGCAGCATTTAACTGGTGGAATTCATGATTAAAAGTTTCTGTTCCGAGTAATAAAACAGCACAGATCTTATTTTAGTTGAAGCTTAATTTGAAAACTTAAATTATTGAATGAGGCGATTGTTGTTGTAGGTGATCCCCTGTAGGCTTAGTACTGAAACATCGCATTACTAGTGATCTTTTCAATTACAGATCCTATTGGAGTAGAATTTAGCAGTGTTTGTACTTGTAATTGAGGGTGAAAAAATGCTAGCAGTTGTCTTGCGTAAGGCTACTGATGGTGTTAACAATATTGAAGTATCCTATTGTTATGCCTCTGCTGTAATATATTTCAGATATTACACAATTGAATTATTTCTAAAACATGTTTCCTTATTTTAGCTGTGAATATAAATAAAATATTTTATGTTTATATAACAAGGCACTTATGTGTATAATTACTTAGAAGTGAGTTTCTTTAAATTAATGATATTTATTCCTTTAATAAAGTAGGTGGTGGGTGGGCTAGAAATGTATCCAGGAAGAGCAGTCAAATGTCTGTAAACCTGGAACTTAATAAGTCAAAACCCTTTCAGGCATTTCTTCCTCCCTGTCTTTCTTATCTATCAGTTATCCCCCAATATATGCAGGTAGTCCTTGAATTACCTGTGATGAAGCTTGCACATCACAGTCCTAATTCGTGATTATCATACATTAGGTCACCCACTACCAATCCAATGTTATGACCTTTTTTGCAACTGTCATTAAGTGTACACTGCGATCGTTACGCAAATCCACGGTTTGCTAAAAGTTGCAAGTAAATGGTTTTTTTTTTTTTTTGCAAAAATGTCATAAAATGCAGTCACGTCATTATGGGACACTGCAAGTGGTAGTGAATGCAACTGTCTTGCTGAGTGCCTGAAGTGTGGTCATGTCAGTTACTGGGGGGAATCATCAGAACTTTGAATCCAGGTTGTAAGGTCCCCGAGAGGTCCATTGTAACTTTGAATGGCGACTGGTTTTAAGTTGTGTATACATATCTGTATACATAAGCATATGATTACCTACCTAAATAAATACTTTGGATGTTTAACAGTGCTTTGATAGTTTTTACTCTGTTCTGGGATTTGTCATAACTTAGAGAATTGTAGGTGTTTTCAAACATATTCTATGCTTACATGCTCCCTAAATAACTGTCTCATTATTATTGCTGTTTGTATTTGTATTGATATTTGGGTGAGCTTGGACAGAGTACCAGGCTCTACAGAAACCAACCTGCTTGATCTATTACATCTATTACCTCTAGTCTAGAGCTACCTGCCCCAGTTCAATTAATATATATATATATGGTAAAGGTTCATATAATTATGTGAAATCAATCAATTTTATCCCAGTCAATTCTGATTTGGTCAGCTTTACATCAACAGCATTTAAATGCAATCAATGAACTTACAGCTTGAGTTACTTATTCTATAGTTGGCATAGATTGCTATTGAATATGTAAACAAATTATCTTTGATGATAATACCACCCATGAGCTCCTTGGGTACTGAAGCCAACATTCAAAAATATGTAGTACAATTCAGCATTCTTGAGATGAGGCTGTACATAGAAACTTCATATCTAACAATCTGACAGTTTAGATATAAAGCTCTTGGAATTACAAGTGCAGTAAAATATTTTCTTTTCTTGACACATCAGGAAACTTGTTGTAGAAACAGTTTTTTTGTTTCAGAGTTAATCATATTAGCAGAACTTACCCTACTGGAAAAATATATGCTGTCATTATATCCCTCATAGCTGTGATGGGGACACAAGGAAGTGGCTGGATATAAATTCTTTTCTCCCAAGAAAATATTTTCTGGCCCCAGCTAAGACATTCCATCTTTATGTAAGGCCCACTCCCCCTTTTTATCTAAATTTCTACCATTATAGCTTGGATAATTCAACTCAAGCCACACTGTTCCAATTGTGAAGTTAAAATTGGCACCCATTAATCTATCCACTCCTCTTCTTTGGCTAATTTAATACTATATAGTTTTGGAATTATAATGGAGAACTGTCTGAAATATGACAGATGGATGTAATAACAATGGCTGTCAGTCATAGAGCTCTGATTGATGGAGAGTAACACAGAATTTTTAGTTATGCATTGTCTTAGGAATGTGCAATATCTAATGGGTAAAGAACTGCATAACAACATTCACACCCTCAACAGGCTACTATGCACATATTGACTACATACCAGTAAAAAGGTAAAAGAAAACTGGATGGAGATGGAGGAAATAAAAAGGTGGTAATTGGGTAGAGAAATATAAATAGGGAGAACAAAATTGGATAGAGATGAGAAGGAAAAGAGGTCACTGAAGAGATAAGAAAGCCTATTCAGGCTGAATTCCCAGGCAAACAGTCCCTTCCTCCCAAAGAATGGTGATTTTCTTTTCCACAGATTGGTTCAACAATGGCTACTTTTCAGTTATTGATACATAATGAGTGTTCCATATGTTCCATATGCTCATAATGAGTGTTCTATCTGTTCCAGCAGGTGCATTATTCAGTAATGCTTGATATCTGTTCAAGGTAAAACCACAGTTCAATCACAGGTAACTGGCAAAGTATGTGATTCATTGCAAGAAAAGTTTGTTTTCCATAGAGCAAGCGATATCATTTGCAGAAACTAGGAGCATCACGTATAATAGATCCATAGAACAAATGATCCATTCTTGCCTCTAAATATTTTCATTGTCCCTCCAGTTCTCCATTACAATTCCAAAACAGTATACAGTATTAAATTCTTAATTTTACTTGGCCTTATTTCTCAATAAACTTCATGCCATTTCTCTGCGACATGATAGACATCTATGGAATAGTTCTGTTGATTGGCTGGGGATTATTTTCAAATTTCACCACACTGGCAAAACACTTTTCAATGCTGCTATTATGAGTGATCTAATGCCCAACTGTTCTTTAGAAGGCTAGATCCTGAAGATGAAACTCAAATACTTTGGCCACCTAATGAGAAGGAAGGACTCACTGGAGAAGAGCCTAATGCTGGGAAAGATGAAAAGCGATAGAAGAAGGGGACAACAGAGAATAAGGTGGCTGGATGGAATCACTGAAGCAGTAGGCATGAGCTTAAATGGACTCCAGAAGATGGTAGAGGACAAGAAGGCCTGGAACGTCCATGGGGTCACAATGGTTTGGACAAGACTTCGCATCTAAGAACAACAATGCCCACTCTGATTTTCATGAAGCCAGTTGGCGACCTGCAGTATTACTGTTGAAATATAAAACAAAAGAATACATCATTCTGTTCCAAATGGTATTCATACTTATTTAAGTCTCCAGCCTTTTTTTATTTATTTATACAAGGATTCAAAGAACATAATTCAACAGTGCAAGATAGTTACAAGTAACTTGGTAACCAAAAGAAATATATATATATAAATGATCAAGTTTGTCAATAATGTGAAATAAATCTTACGTTTTGCAGACAGAACTGCACTTGTTTTGCTTTTTTTTTTTTTAAAGCCAAGATGTAGTCTGGATATATGTGTATCTTAACTCCTTAAGAAGCCCACCAGAAACAACAGGTTTTTGTCATTGAAAGGATAAATAGCAATGATCTTAAACCTTATGTTGACCCCTTTCTCTTTCTGAAACAGACATTATGGCACATGAAAAATATGTTATACATCCATGACTCATTTCTGTTTCAAGGGACTTGAAACAGATTACACCTTGTGGTGTAAATGCATTTAATACCAAAATGTAGTACTGCCATAACAAAATAAACCTTAAAAAATTGTTATTCTATGACAGAAGACTGGGGCTCAAATGATGGGCAATGGTGGAAGACTCATTTAAATCAGGCTGTCCAATTTTATATCAAGCAGAGAATTGATGCTAGATTGAAGAGCATAAAGTATATGCAAGGCAGGATACTCCTTTTTGTTGCTGGCCATAATTTCATTTCATTTGGTCTTTCAGCTAGTGAAGAAGGATGTACCTCACTTCGCTCTTTTCTAGGACTCATTATGCTTCAGCAATGATTTTAAAGAGATGCTTCAGAATGTGCGGGAATATGTGCACCACTTCTTCAAAGTGGCAGTGTCTTTTTTTCATGCTTTTTGCTGTTTTAATGAATTATTCTGTTAAAGCAATGCTGATGTGTATCTCTAATTAAAACAGTTGTGCTTTATCAAGTTAATAGGAAAGCCCCCCAAAATGATGCAGCTACTTTAAAGAAGTGCTGTGTTCATATTCCCACATATCACAAAGACTTCTAAATCATTTTTAAAGCATGAATAATCCTTCAACTTTCCACCTCTTTTTTTAAATATTCCTTTTTTTTTAAAGAAATGATTCAGGGAGGTTTCAGGTTTCTAAAAAACAATACACTGTTAACATCACATGTAGTTTGAGTCTTAGAAAAGGCTCCAAACTGTTTTGAGTTTACAGCTCTCCAGCAAGTTGGCAGATTTTCATTCAGAGAAGGAAATGGCAAATATTTTTTCCCCTGCATGATGTATAGCAGTTTATTTCTTTGTGTATTTACAGACATACATTTACAACACTAATTCAATGTGGCACTTTCCACTTTCTCTTGCATTCAAGCATGTTCAAAGAAGGCAGGATATTTGATTTCCATGCCTCATATGTATTCTCTTTACGAACACATTCAGTTAAAGAATAATGTAACTGAAAATAAAAAACGTTTTAAATAGACTAAATCAGTAATGAAAGTGGAAGGGAGTACTGTTTTACTCACAGGGATTTAAACAATGTGTACAAAACTAGATGTATTTTGTTACAAAGAATTCCTTCTGGCATTGCTGTTTGTTAATCAAGTTTTCAATTCTCAGTGAGCCTCCAGTACTGAATGGGATGATTAGGGAACTAATTTTTCCCAATAATTAACAAAGCAGAACCAGAATCCTTCAACTGAATGTATTTGTCTCTACCCTCTGTCTCATCCCATTGAATTTAGCTAAGATGCTAGAAATGGTTTCCTTATTTGTAACTAGGAAAGTTTCAGAATTGATAATAGTTTCTATCTCTGACTGCTGTCATAAGAAACACAACTTTCAGGTTGTTGTTTTTTGCTTTAAGACAGAAATATTTCAGCATTTATGAGAAGCCTATATATTTTGAATAAAAGTTATGTTTTCACATCACTTGATTCTCAAAGAGAATTTATGAAATGAATTAAAGTGAATTAACAAAGTTAATTCATTTCAAGGTCTTCCTAGTATTCAGTCAAAATGGTAAGGTTGGTTAGATAGAATTTGGAAAACAGAAAAAAAATGCTTAGAAGTAAATCTCAGGACCCAAGGCAGAGAATTGTACACACACACACATACACACACACACACGTAAATCTGTGATTGGACTTCTCTCTGATAGGCACCAAATTAATTAAGCCAAAATATGGATAGTTTTGGTCTGCTTACTCTTTCCACCAACATAATTCTGAGCAGGTTTCCAAGAAAATTTCAGATAGTAGAGATTTTGATAAACAAATTTCTAGATATATATTTAGACAGTATCTAACTTGGCCCTAAGTTCACCAATTCATGCAAATTCTAGTTTTACAGGATAAGTAATGATACACACACATGAAAATCACTTTTTTTTTGCATTATTCCCTTGGTAAATATTGATGCTTGTCATCTTATTAAATAGGAAGTTTTTCTTCCTGTAACTCAAAGTAGGCTTTTGGGAATGACATCCTCTCATGTCTTTCTTTACCACAGTGTTGTGTATACTGTTCCGTATTATTATTATTATTTTTATTTGAAAGCTATTTCCAAAGGATCCTGCAATACACACATCTTTTACTGCTATTCCCATGGATGTGGGAATAATATTAGCTGGTAGCAATGATTACTTTTAGCAGAATTTAAAAAAAATTAAGGACCTTCATTCCAAACTCTGGGATAAAGAATTCATTTGTTAATTGAGATGTTAATTGTGATCGTACAAAATAATACTATTACATCTCTGCAAAGGAAAGACTCTTTTCCCTTTGGTGAATGGAAAATTATGAGCTGAAACTTTTTTAGAGCAGTCTGAAAATGTATAAATTAAAAAGATATATTGTTCTGAACCAAATATGATGCCACAGTTAAATAAAAATATGAGATACTGCATATCTTTTATTCCAGTCAATGCAAATGGTGTTGCCTTGGGGGTTGGGGTTATTTCTTCTGGTCATTAAACCTACCTGTCAGATCTGTCATAGACCCTAGGTATCTCTTTTTTGGCAAATTAAAGGCTTTTTAAAATGAAGGACAGAAGGAAAGGCCCAATATTTGAAAGAAAGGAAGGAAGGAAGGAAGAAAAGGAAAAATAACCAACTGTAGCACTGCCAGATTATCACAAACCATCAAGAACTTTTGTCTCTCTCATTTTTGCCAAGTTGAATCAAGCTGAATTAAATATGTCCACCATTTTGGCAAAGTTAAGACTTAGCCACTACAGTTTCTTTTGCAGTTGCTCAAACAAGTTACCGCCACAGATACTGGGCTGCTATAGCAGCGCAAGAAAGTAATAAAAGGTAGTATGATGGCAAAAGTACATTGCTGTTATTTCCACCAATGCCTTGTCCTGACTGTTTAGGCATGGGATGTATTTCTGGTGGCCGGGTGCTAGAATTTTTGGACAGTCTTTTGCCACAGACTTCATCCAGGCAGGTATCACCACTTCCAGAACCACTGTTGTCATCACCTGGCCAAGACAAAATTCAAATTAGTATGATACTTCTTCAAAAGACTGAATTGTAGCCAATATCTTTTTTGTAGAAGTTAATCTGTCTGTCATGCAGAATGGAGGAAGGCAGAATTAGATTCACCTCCAGGATAATCTTCCTTTTTCAAAATGTTAGTGGGTCCTAGATTGATTCCTTGGCTAGTCATAGAATTTTAACAATAGTGGGTGGCTATAATGGTAAAAACTGCATCTCAGTACATATCCTTGGAAGTATGTTAATCTCCTCAAGAACCAAATGGAGAACTGAATGGCAGAGAACATGATGGAAAACACAGTAAAGGGTGGGGAGGAATCTAATTATTTTGCCTGGGAAATGAGTATTTCATGAGTGACTATGCCTATTATGACAACTTCTTGTTAACCACCCTGCAATATAGCAATTTTGAAACATAGCCTAAGATATATTCTTCAAGCTTCAGATCTACCAAAGTGTTTGAGAATCTTGAATTAAGGTAAAGAATTAGATTCAGACAAATTTCAGATTAATCTTGCTATAGGAATATTAATTTTAAGAAATATTCTTAAGTTAATTATAAGAATTAATGTAGGAGAAAGAATGACAGAACCTGGGGTGAAATGAAAAGGGAGATCAGTCTAGAATCATTACATAGCCTCAAGCTAACTAAGTCCAACTCCCCTTCCCCTTGAATGCTGCTGGCCTCTATCTAATTCTAACCAGATGTTGACCATTAGTTCAGAAGATTCCTGTGCATAGGCTTCAGCAATAAATCAATTTAATGGAATCTTCATGTGTGGACCTGATCTTTCATACCTCACAATTTTGGAGTCCTTGATGTCTCCAAGTTTGGTTGTTTGCTTGCAGATGATTCATAACCTGACTGATATTATGTAGTTGGGTAATGAAATATCTGCAAGCAAACAAACAAGCTTGGAGAACATTGAGGATTCCAAGTTCAGCCTGAGTTACCTAAATTCTCTTCTGTTGAAATTATAAGAATTCTTATGCTATGGGGGCTCCACTTGGGGAAGAATTTATTTCACATATTAATCTGGATGACTCACTCTACTTTCATTATCCATTTTACAATGCCTTAACTGTCACTCCCTCACTCCCTCGATTAACTGATTAGTGTATGAGAGTTGTGGATACATGTATTTTGGGGGATACCTGACAAGAAGAAAGGCATTTTGATTATCAGTAAACATTAATGCTTTTGACACTTGAACAATGCTTTCTTCCAGATTAAAAATCCAGCCTTAAAAATTAACAGAGGGATAACTTTCCACGGTTCTGAACACTATGTATCGCAACTGTGTATGAACTTCTCTTTTGCTTACTAAGCATGAACTGTTATGAATAGTCCCACTTTCTCAGCTTGTACCTACTTGTATCCTGGAAATCCACATCATTTCCATTGTATGCATTGCGCAATCGATTTGTCATAATCTTCAACTGCATGATTTGCTGGCGAATAGTCATGTCCGGTTTGGTGATGTCGACCTCAACCTCTGGGTTATTGATCTGATTGGCTAGACCATCTCCCATCACATCTGGAAGGTATCTGTAAAGAGTATGTATATGTTCATACTGAAAGCTAAATCTGGAGAAGTGGACTTCATGGAAATCCAACCAGACTCACTGGGTGGGTGAGAGCCTAACTCACTCTTTTAAAATAGATTTCCCATTTTTTCCTTATTGCTATCTACTAGCTAGTTGCCATGGGAAAGTGGTTAAAATAAAAGAGATAGAATTAAAAATAAGAACAGGAGAAAATGAAAAGTTATTGTTTTAGTCACTATCTCATCTTTGTATTTCATGAATCTAGTCAATGATTCTTTGGACATGAATTATGAACTTCTGTTTCATGCTTTTTCGGCTTCAGCCCAGGAATGTAGTGGAAATATTGGAACCTAGGGAAATCTTGTCCCTGGAGGAGGAAGTGGGCCTCAAAGTAAGTCTGAGTTCTGAAAGTGAATCAGTTTTTCAGGGTATATGAAATCTGAGAGAGGTTACAAGTCTCCACTGTTCTGACAAACTGATAACTGGGTTTCCTCTTCTGATAAATGCCAAATTTATTTCAGTGTTTAGACAGAAGATAGCAGCCTTCCTAGAAGACTCTCCCTAGATCACTGGTTCTCCACCTGTGGTTAGTGGACCCCTGGGAGACCATGATGTAATCACAGATATCCACAAAGGCATGAAGTAATGTTATGATCTAATGGTCCATGGTGAAGAAAAGGTTGAGAACCACTGACCTAGGGAAATGGATGTATTATATAAGTGAATGTTGTGTATAGCTGCCTAAGCCTTTTTAGATCAACCTTCTCTTTTGAGCTTCACCTGCTTGCATAGATCTTGTCTAAATAAAGATGGGATAATTAATTATTGTCTCATCTCATTTGCCTTCTTTCCTATCCACCTCTGTAAAAGCATTTCACTTTTTCAAGCTCTAAAACTTCATAAAAATGGTAGATGACAGTCTGAGTTTCCAGATGTGGCTTGGCTTAGTACCATTGTGTCTGATAATCGGTAAAACACTGAATAGTTTTTGATGTGATTATTTGAGGAGTTCCTTCTCTGTGTCAACTTACCTGCATTTGTAAGTCATTTCTGATGCCCCTCTTATACGTCCCAACAATCCCCAAGGGCTGTTTGGTTGGAACTAAAGAAAAGTCAATACTTGCTGGTGACTATATCATACCCTATAATTTATGTGAAAAGGTGACACACCTTATTTTTTTCATTAACAATTTTCCAAAAATTGTCAAAGATTTTCAAGAAATGTTTCTATTTAGAAATTTATGCACCGTTTTAATGTATTTTTTATCTTTAAAAAGATGAAATTTTTAAAAAGAGTTTTGATTGTTGTGTATCAATACATTTCATACACAATACTACAATACAAAAGGAAATTTCAAATATTTATTTGCTATGCATAGCCAAAATGTTTTGAAGCATAGATGGGATAGTAATGGGCCTCATTATTTCACAGCTGATTAACCTTACCTGCCTTTGGTCATTCCATTCCAGCACCTATCCTCATTTACAGAACCAGATGATATTTTTTCATTGCAAAGTGTTGTTGGGAGAAGAGCCCAGAAGTCTCTTACTTCCCTCAGCTTCCCTTTGGCATCTGAAACCTGTCATTAGGAAGAGTGATTAAGGTTGAAGAAAATAGTATAATGTCAACAACTTTACATTCTATGTACATTACATATTTATATTAGAATGCATTCTAAGATTATTCAAATAGTGAACAATTGTAATGTGACTAAAAGCAAAATAAACTAAAAACAAAATTTGTTCAAGCTTCTATTTTATTCTATATTCTATACGGTAACCATCCCTGAACTGTTTTAGTATATAACAACAATTAAAGATACTTTAATCTATATGTTAAGTTGGCTTGTAAGGAAATCTAAAAACAAAATTCATTCCAGATTCTATTCTATTCTATTCTATTCTATTCTATTCTATTCTATTCTATTCTATTCTATTCTATTCTATTCTATTCTATCCTATTCTATTCTGTAACCATCCCTGAACTGTTTTAGTATATAACAACAATTAAAGATACATTATTTTATACGTTAAGTTGGCTTGTAAGGAAATCTCCAGCTTAAAAATGCTAGCTGGCATAAAATGGTATGGCTGTGCTTGAGATAAAATTAATTTTTGGTTATATTTATCTCATACTGTCCCAAATGATCAATATTATTCTTATCATTATCTGGGAATACTACATATGGCATTAAAACCACAAAGGCTAGTAAACCAGTTTACATCTCATCTATTTTATTAAAAAGTGTTGTGTGAAAGCCTTGATTTGCAAAAGCATAATGGGTGTCAAAGGTCTACCTCTGTGGGGCAATCAAATGATAACAATGACATATAGATTGTGACATGAAGGAGGAGTACATGGTAAAGGGCATACATTAACGAATGAAATGAAAATAATAGCTATATATAATAACTGTGAAACTAAGAAAGTGCAAGGATGAAGGAAATGAAGATATCAGAATGAAAGCCATAAAATGGCCATGAAAATACAAGAAAGAAATAAAAGAAACAACTATTGAGGTAGGATGACTGTATGAGTCCTACAGGAAAAAGTATTAGAAGACAGATAAAACGAGTGAAATTAAAAGTAAAAGTGATAAGATGTTTTGAGAGGAAACTGAACTGAAGGATGACTGGAAGGGAGTATTTTTGAATTTTATATGGAAATGTTTGTGTGAAGAAAAATGGATGAAATAGAAACTTGAAATGCTTAAAAAAAATGGAAAAATGATAAGTTTGTATAAATTGCAAACGCAATGTAGTTTGCTTAGGGCTGTAGTTGTATGACTTTTTTAAATGTGTAAAGATTACATATCTGACTGAGTCTTGAAAGAATGCCAATTTTCTTCCTTTTTACAAAGGTAAATCATGAGAGAAAAAAGGCAAACCCTATAGGAAGATTAGTTTTTGTGTGGCTGGGAAGATGTTTTGCAAGAACTGGAACTGAAAGGATATAAGAGATGACATGAGGCAAAATTTAGCAAGACCATTATGGTTTTATGCTAGGGAAGGCATGTGCAGATCAGATTTTTGCTCTAATTGAGACATATAAGAATGGGAATATGGTAACCAAAAATTGTAGGTGGCAAAACAAGAAAATACAGCACTAGGAATATATGTATTAAATACAGATCAAGAAACTTTTAATGGCATAAATTTTCAGATACAATATTCCAGGATAACACTTTTTATATCTGATAAATATTTCATATTTTTATGATTTTATGTCTAGTTTGCACTTCTGCTTTGGATTCATTCAATAATAATGAAGAGGAATAACAAATCTGATCAATAAAGCACATGATAAAATATTCTTAACTTTCTTTTGAAGAACGTGGCTGATAGTGAGAATACTTTAGTTTAGAATAAAGGCTACAATGAAAATGGAACTTTGGATGTTGTTGAAAGACATCCCAAACAAAAGCAGGAGAAAGGCTATGTTTCAAGACACTATTAAGGAAAATAAATTGGCTCTTCCATACTAAAATATTTACAGTTAAGACACTTTCATTGCACATTGTTGCAATAATTTTCAATTGAGAAAGTCTATTTATGTATCTTTACTTCTGCAAAGTAGTGGCAGATCACATTTACCTGATTTGAATCTTATGTTAATAATCAGGGAAATTTTGCTGCCAATGCTAGCAGTGTTTAGTTGTTGGATAAGATCTGTTGAGACTCAATCCATCAGCTGTCTCTATTTTACAAACATATTATGTTCTTTCAAAGTGTTTATCTTCTTTCAAAGATTGGCTGTAGTTTAGCTGAACTGCAAAGAGATCCAAGAATGATTTTATACAGTGAGTACAGCAGGCTGGTGCCCCTTTTTCCTTTCCTTTAGAATCACACATGGTACTACTACTGCCTCCTTTGCATGATGTGTATGTCAATTCTCTGTGATCTTCCCTCTTGTTTGCTGCTACCAATATTCTATCCCTTGGCCCTTCTCCCTCAATCTTTCAGCATCTTCTCTTCCTTTTCAGCCCTAGCTCAACAGCTACCAGAATAAGCAGATACTGGTTCAGAAGCATGCCAAGCAAAGCATCTGTGATGGTCCCTTTGTAATTATTACAACCAATATTACAAAAATTTAGAGATTTGCACATCTCTAAAATACATGACATAGCTTCAATTTATTGTTATTGTAAAGTATGTCCTCTATGGGTCTGAGATACTCATGATTATTAAATGAGATAGAAACATTTTACTTGCTGAGAGTCTAATTATGTGAAAAACAACTCCTTATATTGGTAAGCAGGACTGTTAAGAATTTGGTGTGATTAAAAAAGTGTCTTTTGATGATTGGCTAAAAGGGTACTTTCATTTTTACAGATTACTGATGTGTATTCTTCCATTGAAAGAAAGGTTTCACATTGAAACTAAACTGTGCTTATATGTATTCCTTCACATAATGAACATCTTTACAAGGCCCAATGAGCATTTTGATTAACAGGTTACACAATTCTAGTGCAGAATTAAATCAGACAAACCCTCTGCACTCACAAATTTCTCTGAACTAAGCCCAGAAGGTTTATCTTCAGTGACATATTTCCCCCGCCTCTTCTTATCTTCCACATTGGCAGCTTTTGTACTGAGTTTGGGATTTCCACAACCTTGGAAAATCTGGGGAAATCAAAGAAAAACACATCTCAGAAAATTTTTTAGTAGGTAAATCTCTGCATATTTATTTCACCAATATTAAATTTACTTACAATTCATTTCAAATATGAGGACATTCCTATATATTTCATACGTATTTTTGTTTTGTTTGATTCAAAAGGCTGATTTAAAAACATATAGCACAATGAGTTCTATTTTTCTAACTTGCTTAAGCCCTCAGAAACTAGTATCAATATGGGATGTCATATATGCATAATAATTAGTGAATTAAAAAAACCCACCCTAGAGCTTTCTTTGGTTGATTTGCTTAACAATCTAATGATTAGTGGATTTTGAAGACATGTTCGCTCTCTGAACTGATGGCTTTATATCACTATATTTTAGGCAGTAGTACTATGTTCTCTCTTTTTCTTTCTGTCAGTCTATTGGTGACTTATTTACTTGCTAGTCAGTTCCTGATGCACTTTCTCTCAGGATCTTTAATTACAGTTCTTCTGTTCCATAAGAATAATAGCTGGGCTCCAGAAACTCAAATTATGTTGTTGTTCACATCAGGATGGGAATCTACAGTTTTTGGATCTGCGATGGAGCAAATTTCTTTAACATTGGGTTAAAATATCACACTCTCCTCAGGAACACAGATAGGACAAACGTTTGTGATGAGGAAGAGACAGATAAATCTCACAGAGAGCTTACTCTTATACTGGGAAGGAGACAGTGAGCTCACTCTTATATTGGGAAGGAGACACATTCCAGTCAACACATACAAATTAAAGATGACAGGTCTAGGGTTTAATAATTCTTGTATGACAGTAAAAGTGGCTTTCCACCTATTGAGCCCTGAAGAATGGCAAGCATAGCATGTCTATTTTTTTATTAGTAGAAACAATGGAATCCTCTCATGGTAACTTGTAACTGAATATCAAAATACCCAGGGTGTGATCCAAAGTCACTTGCTATGCTTAGGTGACTGTTTACAGGAAATACCATGAATATTCAGGGAAGGTGGGGGTGGGAGAACAATAAGAAAAATACAGGCAATTAAATATATAAGAGGTAAATATTCTGACATTCACAATATAGTTCTTACCTTGGCTGTTATAGACTCTTTGTTTTCTTGCATGTTTGAAATGGCTTCAGCAATCCTAACATGAATTGTACCAATTACAACATCTACATTAGATGGTCCATCAAAACGATCAGCCACCAACAGTAATGAATCTGTTGGGGAAAAAAAAAAGATACTGATTAAGAAGTATATCAAATAAACCATTGCAAACTCTTTGTAATTACTATAACCAATATTAAAATGCAAGATATATCAGTGGAACATTTTTTATATTTATTTATATCCTAGATATTCGGATACCATGAATTACTTACAAAGATTAGAACAGTGCAAACAGTGGCATTTCCTGTGATACTTTATGTAAGCAAAAGCTGGACTTTTAAGAGGCAGGATTGGAAAAGTATTGACACTTTGAACTTTGGTGCTGGAGAAAACTCTTGAGAACACTATGGACAATGAACCAACTAAACAAATGGATCATCAAACATATCAATGCAGCATTCTCACTCAAGGCACACATGCCTAGGCTCAGCCTGCCCTATTTTGCAAAATGCTAGATCTCTTGAGAAGTCTGTAATGGTAGATGGCCTCAATTAAAATGGCAATGGATGTACTGTTGGAAAAAACAAGGACCGAGAGACAGATCATCACAAAGAAAATCTATCTATGTGGTTGTCATTAAGAGTCAACACTGGCTTGAAAGTATTCAATCAATCAATCAGTTTAGATCCTGACAAACAGTCAAATAATGTCCTCTTCAGAAAAAGCAGTCGTAAGGATAAAGTGATACAATAAATCTAAGAATATCTAAATAGCAAAATACAAAACAAAATTTTATAATTATGCTTGAGAACTTTTTTCAGTTTTTAAACCTTTTCTACATGAATGTGCCCATGTAGTTTACTATAAATAAGAGCTCAATTTGAAAGTGACTGAACTTTTTACTTATTGTTAAAAACTACTTTTTCTGAAGTCATCATTAATTTTTGAACTGCTTAAAACCATCCAGTCTGTGATACTGATGAATACTTGGAGCTTCTATATCCTGGTGTCTCGTGCAAAAATTGAAAGACTCATAAGACTGTTATGGGAACTATGTAATACCAAAACACAAGGAGAATTATATCTGGTAACACTCATCTAAAGGAAGAACTGATGCTTCAGAGATATTGAAAATATTCCTCTAATTCATGCATCAATTGATCTCCAACCTTTTATCGCTTAACTAAAAGGATAAAAAAGAGCTAAACAAATGTCAATGAAAGCAATTTTTTCAGGCAAACCTCTGTAGATCTTACCAATCATGTTCTTCCATTCAGTGTCCAGGTCAGCATGATTGCCCAGGCAGCCCTTCAAGATATTACGGCAATAGCTATTACATGGCTTAATGTTTGACATGCCCCGGCAGTGTGCACAATATATCAACTTCATAATAGCGCGATTGCAATACTGGCTCAGAGGGACCTTAAAAACAAACAAACAATTATTTCTTAAGGGCATACACTCGTAAAACACAACATGTACCTTAAAACATAACCCAGTATTCAAAAGAGAAAAATTATTATTTTTTGTGTGTAGAGAAAATCGATATAAAATTTAAAACTAAGTCCATTAAATAGACAACTAGTTTCTTGTATGAAATCTTTGGACATAGCCTATTTAATTTCAGAGGAGGACTACTTTTCAGAGATCATTAGGATGAAACATTTCAAAATCCCTGAAAACCTTGCATTCTGAAATATGAACATTTAGAATATATTCAAGTGTCACAGAACTTGTAACAATTTATTATTGTTTATCTACAATTGTTTATCTATTATCTACAATTGTTTCTTTGATGTCCTGCCAATTGAAAAAAGGCCAGAAGAATAAAGAAACAGGCACATAAATATTACAGATGCCAGCAATGGTTCTAAAAGACTTTTTTCTTCTTCTGTTCAACCATGTCCGGACAAGTCCTTGAAGTTTTCTTGGCAAGGTTTTTCAGAAGTGATTTGCCATTGTCTCCTGAGAGAAAGTGACTGGCCCATCATCACCCAGCGGGCTTTGTGACTAGAACTCACTGTCTCCTTTCTAGCCTGATGCCTTAACTGCTATACTAATAAAATACCTATAAAGAATTTCCATGAATCTGAAATCAGACAATAAAGTCAGTCTTTGACAAGTTTCCTCATTTCCATCACTGTGGGCCTCAATTCAATTATTGTATCAAAACACAGTATTAACTATAATTTAGAATGCAAATAATGTTTGAACTTCGAAAAATATAAGAGATAATGCACTTTTTCCTCATCTATCTTTGTTTTCTGTTATATTAGCATTTACTGTAACAGAATCAGTTCCATTTCTATCATAATATATCTCCAAAATGTATTGAGTTCTTGTTATTGATTGGGTTATAGATATGATGGAAAAATACCGATGGCCCAACTAAAACTTAGTCAGCAAAAAGCACAGTTTTCAACTTCATTTCAAATCTCAGTTTATGAAACTGGTTTTCTAGTCAACACAAAAACAAGATATCCAACTACCACTAATTTTATTATGCACATTTACCAAACAAAGATATATCAAAGCACAAATAATGACAAACTTATATTCAATAAAAATAGTACACAACTTAACAGTCAAACCAGTAAACCAATATTAACTGAGACAATCAAACAAAACCCCCATTTGTGTCTGAAACAAAGGACTGTGATACGACCAAACATGCATACATCCATAGTTAAAATACATCAGGTATTAATCCAGGGATTGCCCAGATTAATGAGAATAGGATAGGAAAATACACAAATCCTTTTCTAATGCCATAACTGTTCATTCAAGTGAAGGAAGGGAGAAAGATAGGCTGACCCAAGGTTGCAAGGCTAAGTTCCCCCAAAGCCTGGAAGTCAGAAGCTATAACTCTGGCCTGAAAAGTAAATTATTGAATAGAAGAATATAAGGAGTGAACAACATTGTATAGAGAACTAAGGATAGACAGGTACTAGGCTGCACGTGTCTGTGTAACTGGAGTCCTTTAAATACAAATAAGAATAGTTTCAACTGGAGTCTTGACTAAGATAGGAAACAAGTGAAGTTTTCTGTTCTGCAATGAGAATTCAGAGTAGGATGGAACAGAAATAGGAATCAGGATTACTGCAGTAATTTAAGCATAAAATTATCAAGCACACCACATAAAACCACAGATTCCCCTTTTAGAGCCCGCAGATTTTATAAGCATTCATTAAATGAAAACTAGTGACTCTTGTTAATAAAATCAATAAATGGATTCCAAATTAGCTGGTCCTCAATCAAGATCTGAGGTTGCAGATCGAGAAAATTGAGATAATCTGGGAGATTTGGAAACAAAGAGTGGGTAGCTGTCGTAAATAGTGGAAAGGATGACCAGGTTGAAACACACACACACCTCAACAATCTCCACCTACTGATTCACATTCTATTTAAAGCAATAAGATGGAATCAAAGAGTAAATATTACTAAGACAATTTATCATGGGTCATCACATCAAAGACCACCAAAACAGATAGACATATCATTAGTACAACAATGCACTGTGGATCAGGTTATCCAAAAGCACTGTATAAAGCATAAACAGAATGGACTATACTTGGATACTTTCAAATTGATTCGTTTGGTAAAAGGAATTGGAAAAGTTCAGTTATAATAACAAAATCATGCCTAAGAACTAACTGTGGAGTTGATCATATGCAAGTTCCAAATCAAACTAAAGAAGAACAAAGTTATCCTATTTCTACAATATGATGTTGAACATATGCTGGCTATTTTCAAGATCACCAGGAACTGCTTTGAAGTCCTGAACTTTACTAGTAAGGAACAAGAGGAACTATGGAATGGAATCAAAGAAGTTAAGAATGAATGAAAAGAGTGTGCCAATAGACAGAAGAAAATAAGCTAGAAGTCAGAACAGATGGTGGAAACTGTCAAAAAAAGAAACCAAAGCAAAAAAAGACAATGATCTTGGAAAGAACTTACAGAATTTAAGAGAGACATTAGAATAGACAAGAAACAATATTGTAATGTAAAGTCATCAAAGATGGAAACGGGCATAGACAAACAAGGGAAGCTTTCCAAAAGAATTGTGATTATCAAAGGGTTCCAACAACACATTTGCATACTAAAGGATGGGCAGACATGAACTGATTCAAATAGGATCAATAATGCATTCTGAAATAGCTTTTGGAGGTAACGCAAAAATTATAGCAGATCCTGAATATGTATACTGAGATTACTGGTAAATCAATCCAGTTGAAACATGGTAACAACTCTCCTGATATTGCTGTGTTGGTTATCTGCTATACATTATTTAATTATTTATTTAGTTTTTAGTATCTTGTCTTATTATTTTTAGAAATAAGGTGGTGAACATACCTAATATTCCTTCCTTTTTCTATTTTCCTCACAACAACAACTTATGAGGTGAGTTGGGCTGAGAGAGAGTGACTGGCCCAAAGTCACCCAGCTGGCTTTCATTATATCAACTACCATCCTGCCAGAGTTGAATCTACTGATTCATTGAGAACAGTTCTCTGGCAAGCTTGCTATGAGACCCTATGTAGAAGATAACCTTAACTTAGAAAAGGTAGAACCATTATCAAGGTAACAAGGCTTCTCTGTGGCAGCACCCATACTTTGGAATTCTTTACTGCTAACATCCATACAGCTCCCTCACTCCTTTCAGATATTCAAAGAGAGTTTAATTTCACTGGGCTTTCAGCCACTTTTTGATTTATCAATTTCCCAACATGGGGCAGAATTGATTTATTAATAGCAAATGCATTACTAAAATAGCATTGCTTTTTACAATTTGATTTATTACTATTATTTCTGATCCCATTCAGCAGGAATTTTAGACAGCTAAATTTTGGTTGGTTGGGGGTACCTCATTCAGATGTGTTCCAACAAGCTTTCATCAAAAAGATATATTTTTTTACTTAACCCTTTAAGATCTCTCTTTACCTTTAATTGAGGAATATTAAAGACATTTTCCAAAGGCCATATTACAAAGTAGTTACAGTTGTTTAGGTTTGAGAATCCTAATAAATAATCTGTTTGTTCATAACAAATATGCACATTATACTCTACAATGACTAAATAAATAATTTGGATAAGTAGGACATCAAAGCCAATGTAATATGATGTATTTTTAAAAGATCCATTTTATTATTTCTATGTCAAAGTATTCTGGCTGAGAATTCAGCTAGAGGTTATTTATTCACATCAACTAGGCAACTCTTAGAATTGTTCGTCTTTTTTAATAATTACCTCATAGGAAATCAGAGTAGTATGTCATTTAGCTTTGATATATTTATGTTAAAAACAGTTTTACATTTCTTTTTAAAATATGCCAGTAAGCTCAGCAGTTTGCAGAGTTAGCATAATTGTAAGTGATATGAAAATAGAATTTACTAGTTTCTCAGATAAATACATATGCAGAAAGTATATTACCAGCTTCCATTCCAGTATTAAGGGCTAACTATAATTATTCAGACTTAGTTATTCATAGGCATTAATGTTAATAAAAATTAATGTGACTACAACTGTTTATATACTAAATATGCTAAGTCTATAATCAGCCCATTCAAATGAAATTCATTAACAACTTATTTTTATCCATCAAGGACACACAAAGGTCAACATTTTTAATGATGAATACAATCTCCACTGAATTAGGGATTATTTAGACTTTTTAAGAGCAATTTTTCTTGATTTAAAAAGATTCATATTTTCATAAATTTTATAAAACTTGAAGGCAGGGACATACACAGAGGTCTACAAAACAAAACAAAAAAATAGAGTCCTTTTAATACAGGGATATATTGGATTTTAGTGTCTAATGGAACACAACAGACACACCTATAGTGCTATATTTTATTCTTGATAAACAATTACATTTTATGAAAGCTGTCATCTGCCAATATTATATACGTAAGATCTAAGTTGAGAAATGCACTGACATGCCTTTGTGAGTTGTGTGTGGAGGGAAGAGAGAGAATTAAATTAATGTGGTAATAAATAGACCTTAATAAGACTAGATTCATGTATTTATTCTACCTAAACAAGGCTCCTTGCTCCAGGGTCACTTGTAATCCATAGGAGAAAAGGAGAATTCTAACTGTTAAAACATCTGTGTTGCAAAATGACTAATACTCCAAGAATTATTGCTTGACATATACTTACCATCCACCTTAAAAACAAACAGAAAACTAGCAGATCTTTCATGAGGAAAAGAGACATCTGGATAGAGTGTGACAGCAAAATGAAAATTTATTACAATCCTCTATACTGAAGTAGTATTTATTTTCCTCAAGCTGCTTGTTCAATTCAATTAAGCTAAAGGGAATGTGTTTATAGCTCCACCAAACATATCTCTCAGTGTATGTGTCTGTGCATGTGTATGTACAGAGTAAACTATAGCAATATTATCGGTAAAAATATTTCTCTGTGATAATAACTTCTTATAGGCAGTTATCTGCATTTAGAAAATGACATTCCATAAAAGTCTTCTGAAGTTCCTCTGTTCTAAGTTTCAGAATTGGCTGGCTGGTTGATGTGAACATTCCAGGATCCTATATAACAGGGGTGTCAAACTCACGTCGTCACAGTGGTGTCATGTGACATATCAGGATTTCCCCCCCTTCACAAAACTGGGCAGGGGCGTGGCCAGCATGTGACGCATCCAGTCTGTGGGCTGGGAGTTTGACAGTCCTGCTACGTAATATAAAGAGCTTGGTAGAATGATTAGGGCAAGAATGATGAAGGGAAGAAGGAGCTCTTCACTCTCTCCTATATTAAAAATATTGACAAAATTCTAGAATGAAAAAAAATCCACTGGGGAATGATTTAGAATTTATATTTGATTTCTTATTTCTCCACTGTGTGGAACAGCATATTATCTTTCTTTTGAAGTTTACCTCAAAACTGAGGCCAAAAGGAGGTGTGCTGATGGAGCATGAGAAAACCTGGTTCATCCTCTCATACTCTTTGTTTCAAGCACCGATTTCTTCTGCCAAGGATAGAGAGAAATTCCACTGGGGATAAAGGAAAGGGAGGAGGGAGAGGGGCTATGGGGAAGTCCACCATCTGTTTTAACAGATGGGTCTGTCATATCAATCTAATTGGAGCCTAAGGGCCAATTCCAGTCTTCCCCAACCTGGTCCCCCGAAGACATGTTGAGAAAAGTCTTGTGATATTATGAAAAAAACAAGAATCTGTTATGGTATGCCTTTCAAGCTTTTGCTCTTAGAAACTGGCATGGTCTTCCAACAGAATGGTGCTTTACAATCTAGAGAGCTAGTCTAAATTTATAGAAGGGTATATGGTAGAAACTTTCTGTTATTAACATTACTTAATGGAATAAAGTATAACATTATTATACTGTTAACTATTTGTTTATTTTGTTGGAATGATGAGACATTAAAAAAAATAGAATTTAATTTCATGGTAACTTAATTATTGTGATTAAAAATCACTTAATTATGACCCCTCAGCTTTATAACTTGTCTTTAGGCCTTGGAAATCTTTTTAAAAAATTGAACTGGTGTCTAAATAGTGCTGTTTCATCTCACAGTGAAGTTTGTTATATGATACACCTTTTGACATAATTCTATTACATCTGAACAAAAAGTCTCATTCCACTTGTTTACTAATTTGGGTTTCTGCTATGAAAAGGAACACATTATTGGACAAAAATTGCTAACTGGCAGTCAATACACTTAGAAGATCAGGGGAAAATGTTCACACAATCCAGTGTGTCACATAGAAAATCCAAGGTATAGTGTTGTGTTGGTTCTTTCACCTGACCAACTTCCATAGGGTGCTTACCATAGGGTGACTGTTGAAAAAACACCGTATAGTGTGTGAAACGCAGTCTCATGGATTCATTCAAAAAGCTGCTTCCAGCACTGGTCTATTTTTCTTAAATCTGCTAACCTGCCAGCAGAATTAAAGTGGTATGTGAAAGTATTAACCAGGGATTATCTTGTGATAAATACTTTCTTAGCAGGTTTAAAATCTCACATACGCTAAGAAAAGTCTGGTAAGAGATTTTTAGGCTGGCTACCTGAGTCATCAAACAGCAAAATATTTTGTTCATATTAAAATAAAGGTATTTTAAAATAGTCAAGAAGAGTTTGAATTACTCTTCATTGAGGATGATTAACAGGGGAAGTAAGGCTTTATGCCATTTCTGAGAAAGAGAGACTTCGGGGTTGAGAGAAGGACCCATCTAACAGACAGTTTAGTAAACAGCTTTCATTCGCTATTCTTTCAATCCAGCCTGCATGCAGACCTTTCTATTTCTACAAGACTTTAGGGAATGTAATGATTCAACTAAAGGGCAAACTGAAAAGCAAAATGGTTGAAATGTTCAAAAGATAAAAGTCCTGGAAGCTGGGACAAGTAAGGAACTTTAACTGTAGCAAAATTAAGAAGCAGAAGTAATTAAAAATGTAAATGTTGCTTGAGCTGCCCCCCCCCAAAAAAACAAAAACAAAAAAACAAAAACCAGTCCTTCTCTTTATGTAATTTACTAGCTTTCTCTAAGGCTGGTTAATGAGTAGTGTATTTTTCTTTGCTTTGTCTACAGCAGGTTTTATTGAATAAGGATCAACTACAACAAGAATAGCAGAGATTGCTATATTCATATTGTAATATGAAATAAATAAAAAATATCTGAGCAATCATGCAAATTAGGTGTATTTTATCTTAGATAAAGAAAATTACATGGCAAACATCTGCAAACAAAGCACAGGAAATACAATGATTCTAAATGTTTATTCTCCAGTACTGTATGATTGATAATTTCTTTGATATACTAAAGGAAAGTTTATTTTACTATTGATACTTGCAAGGGATATCTAATGAGACTAGCAGATAAACACAAGAAATAGAATATTTTTATTGTACCTCTGCATCACTCTATAACACAAGGTTGTTGTTGTTTTATTTTACAAGCAGCTTCCTTCCTTGTGTTCACTTTCCATTCATTCCCTGCACGTATTGAATAACTTCACTCCACTAGTTCAGGCTACCTTCATTCAGATGTATCTTCCCCACCCACCTGCTTTCACAGGCATACACTACTAGATAATCTATAGTTACTGTACTCTGCCTATTGTACTCATCATAGCTTTAGCAAGCATGAAAAATGCAGCCAGTATGCTCATTTCTTTGCAAACTCTAATGCAAAAATTTACTTTGCAAAATACCACTGGTTCACATACCACCAGGCAGGATTTAAATGCATTTACTGACACAAAAGAATCATTTGTCATGGAATGCATTACTTAAATCTCTCTACTTATAAACCAAACACTTCTGAATTGAGTAAAAGAAGAATTGAAGACAGTCTGGTTAAACTAGCTAGTTCATACTTTTAGGCCCAAGTGGAATATTATTTTAAACCTGAAGCATAATGAATACCCAAAAGGAAAACAAGAAGACTTTATATTTTTATCTAAATTGTGCCAGCTTTTTATACAGCTTATGTTCTCCTCTGTGTTCAATCTGCTTGATGGCTCAGAAGTCCAATGCTACTGTTGTGCATAAAGGCTCCGTCACTTTCAAATTATTGATTGATACCTAAAACATTTGGGTATTTGTTTTTTTTATCAACTCTGAAGATAATGTGTATTTTACAGGCCATTTGTGTTGAAAAAACATGTAACTTTTCATTGGGAGGTAAACTAACAATCTCTGAACACCCTCGGTGTTTATTGTGTTAATCTGCATACTTTTTCTCTGTGCATGTGCATTTTATAATATCAGAATAAAAAACGATTGACATGTTTTAGAGCAAACCTATACATATTTCGTTTCCTTAAGGCTCCTTCCCTTAATATTTTCAGTAATATTGAGGCTACTATGATTTAACTTTTCTTAATTCTCTGGAAATGTCATATGATAGGATCCTAAACATCCTCATATCACCTTATTCTATTTTTTGATAGAAAAACTGTGACTTTGGAAAAGCCAGTAATATGAAAGCGGCAGGAGAATCAACAATGCTGCAATGAAACAGTTCTAAGGCTTCTTTAACATGATGACCACCATGTTACCTAGAATTCAATGAAAACTAGCCACAAACATAAATAAAACTTAAGTCTAACTACATTGTATCCTGGTGAGTTGTTGAAGGCATTTTGACTATTCAGTATGGTTACCTAACATGCTGTTAGGTACTTCCTTCTATAGACACAGAAAATGACTTTTTGGTTAGCTTCCAGGTTTCAATATGCAGATGACACCTAGCCATGCCCTACTAGTGTATTTAGCTTTGATAGTCACTATTGTGTTTCCCCCCACAGTACACCAGACACTAGATTGATCTGATGTAATATAGAAAGAAAAGGTACCTCCCACCAATTTAACATTCAAAAAGAAAAGAGTCCCACTGCTTTGCTGAATTGCAGGATGGATCCTGCTATGGCAAAACTTCAGGAACAGCATTCACAAATCTGAAGGGAGCTCTCTGCTTGGGAGTAATAATTTACGCAAAGCAGAAATGGCACCAATCAACGAATCTGACAGCCTTGTCCAATGCAACAGTAAATATATTTCCCAGAGTAAATAGGTACTTTAAAACTTCTTAGGAATGGTGATCACACAGCAATTTAAGCTGACCTACCTGAGAGACCTTTCTGACAACATCGTTGCCCACACCAAGTCCCTGCACAAAGGAACGGACTGCAATGAAGGCCCTTGTTGCCTTGAGCTTCAGGTCCCTTGGAATCTCTCCAAATGGCTTATGTTGCTCCGAGTGCTTTACTATGCAGTCCATATATTCATCCGGAAGCTGGTACTGGGGATTCATCAACTTGAAGAGCCGCTCTAGCAGGTGAGTCCAAAATTCATTGAGGGCTTCTTCTAAGTTAATGTTAGGACCTCGATAATAATGCCGCAGCTCACTATACAAGTCTTTGAAAAGGTGTACATTCTGGAGATAAAGGTCTCCATACATACCAGGAAATGTGTCATAAAGTGCCTTCTCTGACTTGTTTAACAAATCCTGGAAGTAACCTGAAATCAAAAAAGTAGGAGAAACAGGTTACAAGAAGAATCAGGAATTTCTGGAATGAAATTAACCTGAATTAAAGACATCTTCAAATTAATACATTGCATCTTTACTAAAAGGAAATGAAAAAAAACCTGGTATGCGAAGTGTGCTGGTATCTTCAAGTGTAGAAAACAAATACTTGTCATCTGCATTGTGTTGTTTGACTGCATAGATGCAAAACCAGATTCACATTCAGAACTGTGAAACATTTGCCCCCAAAATCTCATGCCCAAAATAATACTGCTTCAACATTCCCGTGAATGTGTAAGACTCAACACTACATTTATTCTCATTTATTGTATATTTGGAAATCAAGCACTGATGAGATGTTGGAAAAAAATATCTATGTGAAATATGCCCAAACATATCTTAATGAAATGCTTGTGCTCCTGACAGAAACATATGTACATATGTTTACCATCCTATTTAAGAGAATATATCAACAATAAATATATCTAGTAGTCAGTGGTGGGATTCAAACATTTTTACCACCGGTTCGGTGGGCGTGGCTTGGTGGGAACACTTTGCACATGTGCACACACTTTGCGTGCACCTGTGCACCAAATGTGCACTTTGCGCAGGCACAGAGGTGTTTGCACAGGCATAGAGGCGTTCTAGTTCACCTCTTGCAAGCCTGCACAATCCTGGCCATTTCAGCAGCTGCTGCGCAGCACTCTTCTGTGCCGTGCAAAGCAGCTGCGCTTCACATTCAGAGGATAAAGGTGAGCATGGGAGCCCGGCTGGGTGGATGGGCCCAACAGCAGAGCGGCAGAGAAAACTGGTTCGGTCTCCACTGCTCATTGCTGCTACCAGCTCGGTAAACCAGGCCGAACCGGTAGAATACCACCACTGCTAGTAGTTCTATGTCTGAAGACTAAAAAGTTTCAATATTTGCTTTTGGTATTAAAATAGGACATTTAGAAAATTATTTGACAACATACAAAACTTCTTTGATTTAAAAGGTTCAACATGACAGATAGTATGTTGGTTCATTACTGTTAAGATAATTCCCCATTAGGAGAATGAGCACTTGCAGGGAGACGTAGTGAGAGTAGTGAAGAATAACACACAACAAGCACACAGATACACTATATAGTAAAATGTAGGTTTTTACTTCCAGTAAAACGGTTAAGCAAAGTTCAGCAAACAGTCCAAGTCATTCATGGTTAAAGCAGTCAGTTTTCAGTCCAGGAATAATCCAAATCAAAGTCCAGTATCAAAAACAGTTCAGAAATAGACTCACATTAAATCCAAGAATAACAATGATCAGTAACAGTGAATAGGGAAATGCAGGAACGGCAACACTCTCAGCAACAACAGAACAGAAACAACCCAGGTTTCTAGCTCCATCTTATGGCCTTTTGAGGAACCACACCCAATTACAATTTTAGCATTCCCTTAAAGAGACAGCATTAAAATGTCTATCCTGGTTTACATATTTCCAACTCAAATATTAGGTGACTTACATTCCTAACATTCTCCCCTTTGGGTAGGACAATATTTACAACCTTACATTTTAAATCCATAATCCTCACAGCAAGCCTTATGCCTTACAGAGCCTTGGGCTTTTGTAAAATGATCTGCGATGTTATTTTCTGACATACAGTATTCCAGCTTAATCATCTTACTTTACACACATTGTCTCACATTTAAATGTCTTAAATCTGTGTGTTTTGATCTTGTCTTTACAGCAAGATTTGAAGCCATTTGTATTGCAGATTGGTTGTCTTCATAAACAACAATAGAATCTGTTACATCAATTCCCATATCAATCAATAGTTGCTTATAACAAACTAAATCTGTACTTAATAAAGACAAACATGAGAATTCAGCCTCCATTGTTGATAAACTTAAATGTTTCTGTCGCATAGAAATCCAATCAACACCTTTCCCAATAATACCGTGTTTCTCACAAAATAAGGCCGGGCCTTATTTTTTTTTGACCCCTGAAAAAATGGCTAGGCCATCTTTTCGGGGGTGACTTAATTTCCTCCCCCACCTAGAGTGGCCCATACGCACGTAAGTCGCCATGAGGCCGCTTATATTGGCCGATGAAAGCTCCCCGAAGGCAGAGTCCCCAGCTGCTTCAGGGCGTGGCATGGCTGCCCGTGTCTCCAAATCAATCCAAATCAAAGTCCAGTATCAAAAACAGTTCAGTAATAGACTCACATCAAATCCAAGAATAACGATGATCAGTAGCAGTCAATAGGGAAATGCAGGAACGGCAACACTCTCAGCAACAACAGAACAGAAGCAACCCAGGTATCTAGCTCCATTTAATGGCCCTTTGAGGAACCACATCCAATTACAATTTTAGCATTCCCTTAAAGAGACAGTATTAAAATGTCTATCCTGGTTTATATATTTCCAACCCAAATGTTAGGTGACTTACACTCCTAACAATTACCAACATTTATTAAAAGAGAGCAAATCCTGTATCTTTTCAATGCATTTTCCCATGGTCCTGCGACATTATTTCCTTTATATATCATTTATGAATTTTTATATTAACAATAGCAGGTCATTGAATACTATAATACCAGTACACCTTAGTGCAAGGCATCCCCTGTGAAACAAATGAACAGATAAAAAATAACTAACCCTACAAGGGAATCATCACCCAATCGTAGATGGTATTGAGTCCAGATCTGTGAAACTCTTATTTAGTTTTATCAGTTACTTGACAATATCCACCAACTGGAATCAGCTTCAAAAAGCATAAACCTGGCCTGAAATCACACAAATATGGTTTACTTGGTTTTTGCTCAGTGATTTGTCAATATAAACAATATGGTTTGTAAACAATGATTTATAACTAAACATGTGGTGTGACTCCAACTAAATGTGGGTTATTTGGAAAAGAATGGTTAAGCAAATAAGACTCTTGCATGAAATGAAAACAAATGTATTTCAGAGCACATTGTAAAAGATTTTGGTTTTATAACTGTATTGAATTCACAGTCCTTTCACACAGAAATCTGTTCCTATCCTAGAATCCCAAGCGTTCTTCATTTCATTTAGCTTGGAAAAAATATTGAAAGATGCTACAATTAAAAAATAAAACTGTGTTGAAGAACTATTACATGTTACATAGTCTTATCTTAGTTTATCTTATCAACCTTCTATGAAATACAACTATATCTACATTTTTCTTTGAAAATATGAAGAGAAATTACAAAGAGAAAGTACAAAATGTTCAATTGCCAGTTTGTATTACTCTATTGAATCAGACCAAGTATTTTTACGTATCATAGTATCTGGATGGAGCAGCATTGACTGATATTAGTATCAATTAACAATAGCACCGTTCTCTTTGACTCTTTCAGACCACAGATCAGAACATTTATATGGCTACCCAACTCACTCTCAGTGACTCCAGGTGGCTTATAAGGATAAAACTCCAATACAAAAAAAAAAAAAAGAATAATCCCCCACTAGTCCCCTGGCGACAGCATCAAATGAGCCATTTGATGGGCTCCATATCACTCTGGGATCTGTTGGGTACCCCAGAACAATTTTGCTATAGCAGTTGGTCAATCATACTTCTACTACAAAGAGATCATATGCAGTTATGTATGCAGATTATGAGGAAGAAATATTAATATTTCTGCCATGCGCAAGAGGTGTATTTTGCCTTTGACCTTAATAAAAGCCCAGAAATCATTCATAGTAGCAAAAAGTTCTTGTATCCCTTCAAAAAGCACTGCTTCTTGGGAATAGTTATAATGCTTTATCTCATTGTTTTTGCAATTTTTAAACAAATTATTCATTCTAACAATATTTTCAAAATAGGGAACAGTTAAAATCATTTGTAAATGCTAAATAACTCACAAACTGGTGATGACGATGGATGGAATCCATCCATAAAAAAGAAAATATTTTACAGTTTCTTAAATGTTAATGCTGGTATTCTACATTAAAATTGAGCAGATTGTTTGGCTATCACCTTAATAGATGATACCAGAAGACCAAAGACTTGGAAAGATACATTTAGGCCATTGATTCCAGTTCCTTTCTTAATGCAGGGATCCAAATTAAGCTTTCTAAATAGATTCCATCCAGTGGAATAACACCTCTCTGGGCAATTGGTTCCACCATCTAGTTATTCTTATTATTAAGGTATCAGTTCTGGTATGCCCTCCTATAACTTTTATCCATTATATTGTATCCTAGACTTTGTAATAATATAGATAACTGATCTTTGATTTCTATGTGGAATTTCAGATATTTGATGAATGCAAGCCACTACTGAAACAAATTACTAAGAAAATTTCAGGAATTTGTTCAGGCAGTTTCTGAGAATCAGACATTATTATTCATGTTCGTTGGAAGTCATTTATCTGTTTATTTTGCCTTCACTTCCTCTTCTGCCATAACACACTACTATTCCAGGTTGAAGGACCAGCCTGCGGTGCCTCTGCCAGTGAAAACAGAGCTTGGGAGGACCGCGGAAAGCCATCCTTATGTCCATTTTCACTGGCAGGGGGTTGCAGGAGGCCATTGCAGCTGAAAACGGAGCATGTGAGAGCCATGGGTGGACCTCCTGAGCTCTGTTTTTGCTGGCAGAGGGTTGCAAGAAGCTGTCAGAGTGAAAAAGGGAGCTTGGGAGCCCATTTTTGCTGGCAGAGCATTCAGACCACCACACGCATCCCCAACACGAGTGACGTCAAGCTGGCTGTGCCCACCCTGGCCATGCCCATCCTGACACCCAAGGTCAAACCCAACCCTGATGTATCCCTCAATAAAATCAAGTTTGACACCCTGTACTAGAGGCTGGAGAGAATGTAAACATTATAACAAATAATGAGATTAGAGAATACATGTGCAGTATGTCCAGTTCACTGAAAATTATGAGATGTAAAGTGTGCCTTATGAAGACATGGTTGTAAAATAATTTACTGATGAAAATCAGACCACAATTAGTCTAAATTAAGAGGCTGGTTCAAAGTACACCGGACTACCA